TGATCTAATTTATCCACATTGAGTAAGAACAAGTGATTTAAGATTAGGAAAATGAAGTATATTTTTATCATTAAATAACCATTCATAACAAAGATCATAAGCAGATGAATTATTTCCATCTAAATGAATACGTCGAATAGAAGAAGAAAGAGATGAAGAATTCAAAATCAATAGAAATAATATTGAACAACATTTATTATAAGATAAACCACGTTTAAATAGCAAGACCACTATTCATTAAATTGTTATTTATTGAAAGAACTAAACATATAAGAGAATTAAACCGAATATTCAAAGACCATAAACATGTTAACATGTCAAACCATTCAAAATAAGAAAATATACACAAAAGAATTTCATTAGGTAATACTTCGATTCTAGTGATCATTGGTACAAGTACAGAATGAGAACACTATTCATATAAATAACATTAAGACAGAAGAGAAAAGAAATGAGTTGGAAGATAATATTATTGAACGATTAAAAGAATGTCCTCTATTCAGAATAGATGTATTCGTTCAATAATGTTATCTTTTCTTCCAACTCATTTCTTGAGGGTGTGGGTGTGAGTGTAGCTGTGGTTTATTCTGATACCCACACCCATCCCAAACGTTCTGTCATTATCCATCATAGTCCTTTTCATCACCACGGTAACAACCTTTTCCTTGATGGTTATTTAGGATAAAAACAGTTCCCTCAAACAAGAGTAGTCTTAATTTGTTTCTTATCTCACGCTAATCTCAGATAAATCAGAATTCTTTCAAAATTTCCATTGTCTGATATTAATCTATAGGCGTCGTTGATGAGAAGTGCATCTGCTATTGATAGGTCGAACGGAACGACTTTTTTCTGAGAGACAGTACACCATGGGTAATAATAATTGGCCGAATTTCAGACCGAAAACCGAAGCGACCGAAAAAGCTGATTGGTCATCTCCTAATACTGTATAACCCATTAAGAATTCGTCCATGTTTTATCGTCATTTCTCGAAAAAAGACAAAATATTAAATTCAACTATGTAATTTTAATCAATATATAAATACTGAATCTACGGAACTTCTTAGATCTTCATCTTTATTAATATGAATTTTATTTGCTTATTTTTTAAATTAATTTTCCAATTGATTTCTCAATGAAAAACTTTAGTCTGAGGATATGTCGACTTATCTCAAAAGGATACATCGACTCATCTAAGAACGGAAATTTCCCGATCTGTTCATCAACAATAAACTGTAGTCATTAGATAAGTCAACTTATCTCAACAGGATAAGTCGAGTCATCTAAAGAAGAGAACTTTCTGATCTATTTGACAACAATAAAATTTGGTCATTGGATATGTCGACTTATCTCAAAAGGATAAGTCGAGTGATCTAAGGAAGCAAATTTTTCGATGGGTTTATCCATAATAAACTGTAATCATTAGATATGTCGACTTATCTCCAAAGGATAAGTCGACTCATCTAAGGAAGAGAATTTTCAGTCTGTTTCTCAACGAAAACCGGTCAGAGGATATGTCGACTTATCTCAACAGGATACATCGACTCATCTAAGAAAGGAAATTTTCCGATCTGTTCATCAACAATAAACTGTAGTCATTAGATGAGTCGACTTATCTCAACAGGATAAGTCGAATCATCTAAGGAAGCAAATTTTCCGATGTGTTTATCCATAAGAAACTGGAGTCATTAGATATGTCGACTCATCTAAGGAAATAGATTTTCTCATCTATTTCTCGAGAATAACAAACAATGAATTCTAATACTTCCATTATTATGAAAAAATTCGACTATATTTTAATTTACAATGATGAATATTTATGTTGTAGGCAAAATAATTTTTTCGTGTAAATCTTAAATTTGAATCCTAAAATTTTAAGTTTTCCTATTACTATTCAGAAAATTTTTAATTTTTCTGAATTACAATTTCTTCTCAAGCATATATATTAATTTAGGTATCAAATTCATAATTTTTTAACTATTGTCTTGAATTTTATGCAAAAGATGCACGCCATAAGAAGACGCCATCTTTTAAAATAAATGTATATCATATATATTTAATTAGTCACCAATCAGCTTTTTTCGGTCGCTTCGGTTTTCGGTCTGAAATTCGGCCATTTATTATTACCCCAATGCAGTGTGATGATTCAATGAACAATCTTCATTCTTGTTTTCTCTAAATTAGTCTACCATCAAATAGGGATGAATCATCGATTCATTATCAAATCATAAGCGTTATTGTGTTTTGATTGGTCGGTTTCTATCGATTGTTTCTTGATATAGATATTTTTTGGAAAAAACTAAAAACACATTTTGATAGAGAAGAATTTCCTGTGTCAACTAGTATAGATCAAAAGTTCGGCCTAATTAATTTTTTTAAAAACGTGTTGCACACAGCGCATTTGATATTGACCCATGTAAATACACATCTTTTTTCTGTTCTGCTTGCGTACTAAATATTCATTATTCGTTGTTGTTATTATATAAAAGAATCTTCGTTTATCAAGCCCTACTACTTCAATTAGCATAACAAACTTCGCTTTCGCTAAACTCGGTTCGGTTGAAAATTTTTAAAAATTCTGTCAGTTACGTTCGGTTCGGTTCGGAAAAAATGCCAACCGATCCCATCTCTGGTGTTATTACCTAAACCCAAATCCTTCAACAATTTAATCCTGCTAGTACCGTTTCTGATATTTATTGGCAAAACTCTGCATTATAGATTATGAATAAAATGCTCAAATCTCTATGTCTTCCAATCGATCGATAGCATATTATTACCATTAGACTTTTTAGTGGTTGCAACAATGTTAACTCCTTATCCTATTCTCAGAAACTTCAAGGTATTCCTAGTCCTGAGTAGAAAGCCTCTATCTTCAAAGATTCATGTGAAATTTTCTCACACTTCCTCAGCTTTGCACGCATGTAAACGTGCATATGATCTTGCTAGAGTCCTCTTAGGAACCTTCTTGGAAAGCGCTTTCCATAATTTAGCAAAAACCTTAAAATCATGTAATCAATACGATTCGTAAACCACGTTCAAAAGCATACTGAAAGATACATTCTGCATCCTTAGGACTAAAGTTCAAACAGACTCTTCTCTGTATCTTTCAGTTTAGCAATCTAACAAAATTCTTTATTTTATGGCTTGAAATTATTTCTGCAGGTCATCATATAAACTACGAATAAGATCCTTCGATCTCTATGCTTTCCTATCGAGTATAGCATTAGTCTTCTCAGTATTTCAGAAATGCTATGTCCCGAAAAAAACTTTTCAGGAACCTCAAAGATCTTGGCAAAAACTGAAACAAGCTCCTCAAAATATGGATTCTCATAAGAATTGTTACGAAGTTCTTTTTTGCATAGGAAATTAGGAAAAGATTTTACTTGTTTAGCCCTTTCAAGACGAATTTTTTTTTATCAAAAATTGGTTCTTTTTATCAATTTATTGAATTTGACTCAAAGTTTTCCATAAAAACTTTATGGTATTGAAAGAAACAATTTTTCTCGTCTGTTACGCAAAAAGCCAGTTTGCAAGTAGAGCATTCGATGGTTGATCGAACTTGCACTTCTTTTGTGCTACAATAAGTGCATCTCCTCCAGGTTCCCTTAACAGGCAAGTGCATCCCACCGTCCAACTGATCAGCAGATGGCGGTGATGCTATTTTATGCTTGTTGTTTGAAGGAGGTCGTCCAAGATTTGTTCGCTCAGCGCCAGAACATAGAGACTTAGCCACGGAAACCAAATAATTTAAGTATGATAATTTATTCTGACCTAATTGATTGTAGCAGATAAATGAATTAGCTAAAGATGCATTGAAGAAGAAAATGAAAAGCCTAAGCCAGTTCCTTCTGGACTTTCGATCAAAGGTGTAGCAGGATATTATTTGATTGAATCGATCAACTCCATGTATAAACTTGTTGTAGTCCTTTATTGCTTTCGGACAGTTAATTTCAATGAGCTGTTTATTTTTCAACTGTCGAGAGATTCTAACGATTTCAATGTTTTCACAGTCGTTTGACGCTAGAAAGACATGCTTCGTATCCATCCATTTGAAGATAATAGTGTTGGATATGACAATTGACTTGTGATCACCTCGTTCTATTTTCTCTTTCAAAGCAAAGTGTGGTGGAATACCAACCCGATCGGTCCGAATAGTTCCCGTGGCACTTATTCTCCGCAGCTTTAGCTTCTCTAATAACGGAAGTGGAGTAAAAAAATTATCGAAGTACAAATGTTTTCCTTCGAAATGATGGTCAGCAATAAGAGTGAAAACAACACGTTCAGCCAAAAGTGTTTCTTTTTCACTAGTTTCTTCTTTTCCTTGGTAAATTCTACAATTGAATAAGTAACCAGTAATGGAATCGCATAAACACCATAGTTTGTAGCCTCTCTTTATTGGTTTTGAAGGCACGTATTGCTTGAGACTTGACCTTCCCTTGAATTTGACTATAATTTCGTCGATTGAACCATAGTGACCAAAGTTATAATTTTTCTGGAAATTTCTTAGTAAAATTTCAATGAAATTCTTAACTTTGTAACTTTTACTGTAGTGATCAGTTTCCTTTTTTGGCTCCAATGAATTATCAGCAAGATGTAAATTATAAAAGATTTGAAGAAAGCGATTTCTTGACATGATCGAAGAGATGAAACTATTATGAAAAACATTGTCTTTACTCGAATAGAATTTCATTTTCGGTAAGTCATTGATTGCCATCACAATAATTATTCCAAGAAACGATTCAATATCTTTTATCCGCATATCCTTCCAGCGATCAGTTTCGTTTTGATTATTATTTCGTTTCTTCTGTTTTGCGTAAATATTTGTTTGATCAGTAATTAGGTTTAAAATTTCTTCCGCGAAAAAGCTCCTGAATACTGAAATTGGCGTTATATCCCTGAGAGAAGTTGATGTAAAACCGCCATTACCAATATAACTTTCGCTCATAGAATCAATCTCCATTTCATCTTCATTCGAATATTTATCTGAGATCTGAACTTCATCCAGATCATCTACTAGTTCATTACAGTCAAAATCGAAATCACTCTCATCGCTGTCTTCATTCCTAAGTGAATCACGTGAGTCGTCATCAACTTCAACATTTTCGAAGGATTGCATCGGTCAAGATTCAATTATAAATAGAATAAGCAAATCAAATATAGAAGTAATTTAACTTCTTTTCAAAGAACAGCTATATATATATATATATATACAAGAGCAATAGAGAGTGTGAGTCATATAGAGCATTCTTGTAAAACAACATAACAGACGAAGAAAGGAAAACTATGACGTCATTGTACAATCATAGAAAGAAAAACAAATGTCTGAGAAGAATACATACAGCATCAAGAAAAGATATGTATAGCATGACAGTTGGCGCACTCCATGACCTCTATGTATACTAAGTTTTAATACTTAAGTGTAAATGAAATATTTTTCCCAACGGAAAACTAGGTGGTATAACCATTATACCACCGTCCTGAAAGGGTTAGAGTATGTTAGGGAAGAAATATTCTCGAAAGTTTTACCAAGTCCCTTCGAAGAAGAATATCTTATTCATAGTCAACGACAATGACGATTTCTTTTCTTTTTCTCGTTCATTGTAGTGATTTCTAATATTCCAGCCAATGCCCAATGGGCACAGAATGGAGTCACCGTTGCTGGAGGCCATGGACCAGGCAATTCCACCAATCAGCTCTTCAACCCTTGGGATCTCTTCGTTGATGATGATGATCAAAGGATAGTCATCGCTGACCGCAAAAATCATCGTATTGTCCAATGGAAGATAGGTGATACGAATGGACAAGTAGTAGCTGGTGGCAATGGTCAAGGAAATCGATTGGATCAATTGGATACTCCAATTGATGTGTTGATCGACAAAAAGACGGATAGTCTCATTATTAGTGAAAGAGGAAATCGACGAGTCGTACGATGGTCTCGTCGTAGTGGCACAACTCAAGGAGAAATCCTCATCGACAACATTGATTCTTATGGATTGGTCATGGATGGTCACGGATATCTCTACATCTCTGATGCTCTGAAACATGAAGTAAGACGGTATCAAATAGGAGACAAGAATGGAACTATCGTAGCTGGTAGCCATGGCAAAGGTACTGGTCTCAATCAACTCAACTATCCGCACTGCATCTTTGTCGATCAACAACAGGCTGTCTACGTGTCAGACACCTACAATCATCGTGTAATGAAATGGAATAAAGGTGCAAGAGAAGGAATTGTCGTCGCTGGTGGTCAAGGCGAAGGGAATGCTCTGACACAATTATTGTATCCTAACGAACTCTTCGTCGATACATTGGGTACCCTCTATATAGCAGACTCGTTGAATCATCGAGTGATACGTTGGCCTAAAGGAGCAATACAAGGCACTGTCATTGTGGGTGGAAATGGTAAAGGAGCACAAGCAAATCAATTCAACAGTGCCGTCAGTTTGTCCTTCGATCGTCATCGCGATCTCTACGTCGTTGATACGGATAACCATCGTGTTCAACGTTTTTCAATTGAATAGATTGATCGCAATGATTTTTTTTCTTTTCTTTCTCACAAATAAAGTACATTGAATTGATGAAAGGAAAGTTTATTCTATTCGCACGCACATGGAACAGACTCAAATCATCTATATCACAGAGATGTGGCAAAGAGTCTATGGGACTCGGTCGTGTGCCACGGACACCAAGACAGTTGCTGGTCAAGCTTTTAAGGGCTACCCGGCAGTCCTTCACATAACCGGAGCCTAACCTCAATGGACGTAACTCATCCTCCTACTAACACTCACTTTTCTGAGGCTCACCCTAATTCGCTCAATCTTATTATCATTATTTAAACTCAGTCCCCTCTCACCCTATTCTCTTCTCACAAAAAAGAAATAATTACTCACTCACTTTCGATGTTGGACGACGTTGATGATGACAATGCGGTGATAATGTTCACAAATAAATATGACCATGCAAGCATTTGAATAATTGATATATTTGTACGACAACAGAATAAAGATGATGATAGAAGAATAATTAATTTAAAATATTCTTCAGACTGTTTTATTGATCATTGGTGATGTTAAATAAATTTCACCAAAATTATTTGTAGCAAACAGATCATATATTTATATGCTATAGAATATCATAATTATATAGAATGTTTTTCTTATCAAAAATGATATTTTGAATGACTATACCCAAAAAAAGAAAATATAATATGATAAAATTTTTTCTGTTCAGATAAATAGAGATTAAAATTCAATAACTTAGAACAATACCATTCTACACAAGATTTCATTGATGAACTATAACGTTAAAGTATCTAAAACAACAGACATGGTAGCTTTCAGGTCTTAGAAGACTTTGTTTGAGCTATATTTTTAACTATACTATCGTAACGAGCATAAAATTTTAAACAAACCGATGAATCGTCGCATTTTCTACGGTCTTCTCTTTAAAAATTTCAATTTTTAATGATGTTTTGTGATGCTTTTAACTTTTAAGGAGACGTTACAGAAAATGTGACGATTTCTCATATTTTGTTTAGAGTTTAATAAAAAATAATTGCTCTAACAACGTCTTCTAATATTATAGATAGAAAATTCCATTACCTATTTAAATCATTATTTGAGTTTGAACTAGATGCTTAAAATGATAGTAAAAAGTCAAAAATACCTCAGTTGTTAAGGACACTTCCTTCTCCGGACATGAAAATCAAAATTTTTCGATTTTTTCCTTTTTCATTAACACATCCTTTGAAATGTTCTCTATTGATCTGCAGAAAATTTTATTTGACAACATTGTGACATCTACTTGTAGCCATTTCAGTTTTAGTAGATGATCATGTTAGAGTTACATGTCAAGGTGCGCGACATATGTACAAAATGATTAATTCGAAAAGAGTGGTGTGTATCTTTAATTTTTTCACCAGTCATATGGATAACTGTCAACCGTTCCCATTCTTCTTCATTCATTGATAATGAAAACCTCGAAGATAATTTTTTTTCGATATGTTTTTACTATTTTGTAGAGAATCACGAGTTCCATAACGTGTCAAAATAGTGACTTTTCTACTCGTATTATCTCAGCAAATAAATGAAATACTAGGGTGTGGGTGTGGGTGTGGGTGTGTGGGCGTCGGTGTGGGGTGGGTGTGGGTGTGTGGGCGTCGGTGTGGGGTGGGTGTGGATGTGGGTGTGGGTGTGGATGTGGAGTGTGGGGTGTGGGTGTGCGTTGAGAAAAGACTCATCCCTACCCCAACACCCACACCCACACGCACACCCACACCCACACCCACACGCACACGCACACGCACACCCCATACTATGGGCTATTTAATTTCAGTCTGAATTCATCAAATAAAAATAATACTTGATTTCAAACTGAAACGTGAGTCTAGGAGTGAGGGGGGGAGTGACTGAGGGTGTGGGTGTTGGTCTGGGACCCACCCACACACCCACACCCATGGTGCGGGTGTGGGCGCGCGAGTGAGGGTGAGGGTGTGCTTGTGGCTTTGTGTACTATAGGCTTTAGTCCCCTGCACAAGGGACTAAGCGGGGACTAAGCTTTTTGTGGGGGGGACTAAGGGGGACTTTGCAGGACTAGGGGGGACTAAGGGTTTTTAGTGAGACTACGTAGTATCAAACGAGAAAAGTTTGATTCGGAAGAAATTGGTGCGGTTTTTTTGATTTTAGAATTCAGTTTGAAATAAAAAAGCCCATAGACTCGCACACCCACACCCACACACCCACACCACACCCACACCCACCCATTACGAATCAAGTTGTGAAAGCCGTTTTGATTGGTGCCGGTTTAGCTGCTGGTCCCGTAGGTGTTGTGGCAGCTGTTATAGCATCGCTTCTCATCGATTCGAAACCAGTCTATTAAGAATATGTACGATAGGATAAGACATTAATTTATCAAGAAAGCATTAAGAAAAAACTCATAATCATTTTCTTGAATATGCGTGTAGACGTGGGTAACTATGTTGTGAGTATGGGTGTGTGGAGAGGCGTAAGTCTTCTCTTGAGGCACTCTAATACCCTACTTATCACACTCCAACTCCAACGATCAGAATATTGCTCAGATATAGTCAAAATACTAAAAGAACCCATCTTTAGCAATTTTCAGTAGCCAAAATAAGCT